TGCATTTCCTTCTCCTCAGGCTTCCCCCTTTATTTCTTCTAGCAAAAAAAATTGCTCCTCTCCTCCCCGCAAAGTATCGCTGGATAAATGACTTCCCTATGAAACCGAGTGCAGCTTGTCCTGGGAAACTATTTCAGGGCAGGAGCCACTCAGAAATCTCAGCGCACATATGGCTTGTAGATCAGCCTGCTGGATTAGTCAATGATATGTTTCAAGTTTTCAGTGATTGCTGTACCTGTTTTGTGCTGCATGAAATACATGTTCTCAGCTACAAAAAAATATAAAATGTCTTAAGAAGTGGATCACCTCAGAATTGAAAGGACTGTTATCTTTCCTGGTTTTTCTTTTCTTTTTTGTTAGAAAAACCTGGTTTTCCTCCTCATTATCAGCTTATGAGAGCAGATACGCTGAGAAATGACAAATTCTTCTTCTAGGTATAATCTTTTGCAATCACAGACAACATTATGATATTGTCTCGAATTAGAGCAATCTTTGAAATGATATAATAATCTGCTGCAGACAATGTAGGAAACTTTTACTTTGATCGGAAGAGGGATAAGGGTATAACGCTGCGGAACTAGGAGCTATTTATTCCATGCAGGTTTTTGTTGCTGCTCCTGAGTAGGGTAGCTTGATTTAAACCAAGTACATTTTCAAATCAGCAAGAGAAGAAACCAATTTTCATCAATGATTCAAATCAACTCTCCCATGTGTTTGCCCATATTCCTCTGTATTTCCTAAACTCCTCCTTAGCCCTGCATCTTGGTTTGTCCTTCCATCTGGACTTATTCTAAACATAAACTAGAAAAAATTATACTCAAGATTTTGCCAATGTTTGATTACAGTGATAATCCAATATTTTTCTGTGATTATGATTACCTTGACATGCTTACTATGTTTAATTAATTACACCTAGATACCTGTTTGTCCTCTAAGGAGCTCAGGAGAGTGTACATACAGCTCCCAGGCAGACTATGCTTCTGGGGAGCATTTAGGGTGAAGCTGGATTAGCTTCAGCAGTAAAACTGCACCATACACCTTCCAAGAGTTATCTGTGCTATTTGCTGGAGGCCACGTGGGTGGCACTGTGGGTTAAACCACAGAGCCTAAGGCTTGCCAATCAGAAGGTTGGCGGTTCGAATCCCCGCGACGGGGTGAGCTCCCATTGTTCGGTCCCTGCTCCTGCCAACCTAGCAGTTCGAAAGCACGTCAAAATGCAAGTAGATAAATTGGTACCGCTCCAGCGGAAAGGTAAACAGCATTTCCGTGAGCTGCTCTGGTTTCACCAGAAGCAGCTTAGTCATGCTGGCCACATGACCCGGAAGCTGTCTGCGGACAAAGGCCGGCTCCCTCGGCCAGTAAAGCGAGATGAGTGCCACAACCCCAGAGTTGTCCGTGACTGGATCTAACAGTCAGGGGTCCCTTTACCTTTACCTATTATTGGGCTGCTCTTGAGAGGGTCCCCTTTTTTGGGTAACAATGGCTCAGGGTTGCCGGTCTTTTCCTGTGAGCATTACAAGGATCCATCTAATCTCCATGGTGAGATCATATAGACACTGAAGTGGGGGCCTAACTCCTCATGGGAACTCCTCAGTTTTTCATGGTAGGACAAGACTTGCCTATTTACATTGCCTTCTGGTGACTGGGGGGGGGGGGAGATGTTTAAGTGGATAATAATCCCTTGGAAAGTGTTGACCCAAATAATGCCAACACCAGTCCCAAATGAGAAGTAAAATGCAGTTGGTTATATGGTAAGTATGTTTTGTGTCAAAATACATTTCCTTCTGAAGTTTCAAACAGCCAAGATTTAGAGTGGAGTATGGTCAAAATGTGTTTTGTTTTCTGTCCTCTATAATAAATCAGTTCTGTTTTCCTTATCACACAGCTCGGTTGAAAGGTTCATGAGCTCTGGCAAGATTCCACATATCTGATAGAATGAATTTTATGCTGCTTTGGAGGGTACAGAACAAGGAGTTGAGGTTGCATTTACAGTGTTTGAGAACAACCTCAGGGAAACATAGGGAAACAATAAGGAAAATATGCAAGAGTTCTTGGTTTATATTGTTAGCTGTCCATAACTTTAGTGCCTGAATCACATTTGCAAATATTCAAAGACTATAAAGCTGTAATATCTTAATTTGAAAACAGTGTGCTGTAAAAACGTCATTAGTCTTGAGTTTTTCATCAAGGAAGTTTCCAGTTGGGTTATGGCTCCTGCTGAGACTCATTTGCACTTTGGGGGGGGCATGTCCCACAATCAAAATAAATACCAGAATCCCTTGATCAATTTGTACAATCCAGTTAAATCACTTTCAACCAATTTCCATCTGAACAACAAAATGAAGAATGTGTATGGAATGTACAGATGTGCTGAAATTCTGCTCTGCATGTAACTAATTCAGATGCTCTGCTGTTAGCCTGAAAAGTATCCAGATAAAAATGTGTGTGGATTTCATAAGATTATAGTGTCTTGGAGGAAATTATCTATTTTTTATTTGTGAAACCAGTTTTGTTGCTTTTGTTAAATTATTTACTTGTGGTTTTTATCTTGTATTTTATTCTGTGAACTGCACTGAGATACTCTGATGAAGGGTGGTATATAAATTTAATAAATAAAACAATAAATAAAATGGACACAGTAGCATCCAATGATACAGCTTTCACCAGCAGGGATCTGGTTTTGATGTTTTTACTGCTGGTGAAATTGTTAACCGCCCCGTAACTGTTAAGAAGAAATGTTTGCCTTGAAGGAATATTAAAGGCCTTCTGAGATTATAGGTTTCAAAATTTAGGGTCCATAACTATTTCTATTGTGGAATTAGTGCCATGGATATTAGAGAGAAACAGATTGATGCTTTGAAGCCAGAGGTCTCTCATCTAGTACATAATGCATCATTTCATTTACTGCGAAGTTAACTTTGTACATTATGGCTGCTGAATCTTTGCTTAATGATTGGGTAATTGCCTATGGATTGCTGCCTGTTTGCTGTCATAAAAATACCCCCCCCATCCAGCTTCCGCCCTGACCGCTGTATGCAGTGGTGGCAACACCGTTCCATATAGTCTTACCATAGGTTTGGGAGGTTAAGATTGCTCCCTTAGGCTTAACAACAGTAGGAATAGATACGTGTAGTGATAGTAGTAGTAGTAGTAGTAGTAGTAATACTAATAATAATAATAATTCGTTACTTATACCCCGCCCGTCTGGCCGGGCCTCCCCAGCTTCACAGAAAAGGTAGGTTTCGAGGACAGAAAGTAGGAAAAGTGGAATTATGATGACAGTTCCATGCATGAGGGACAGCAAGGAAGCACGAGACCTTCAAAAGCTGAGGATGGCAGAGCTTCAATGCTATCCTAAAATGTTTTCCTTCCCCTTGTTTGTGAATAACCTCATGAGACAGCTGCTTGTGCAATACTTTGTAAAGAGAGGAGAGGAAAACTATATGGAGAGTACAGTAGATGAAAGCCTCACAAAATGCTGTGGCTAGACCAGGCTTCCTCAAGCTTGGCCCTCTAGAAGATGTTTTTGGCCTACAACTCCCATGACCCCTAGCTAGCAGTGGTCAGGGATGATGGGAATTGTAGTCTCAAAACGTCTGGAGGGCCGAGTTTGAGGAAGCCTGGGCTAGACTGCTGGTGGGGTCAGAATACTACCAACATATAATGCAAGGGTTTAAAAGTTTGCGCCAGCTGCCAAAATGTTATTGGGCGAAGTTCAAGACTACGGTGTTAAGCAGTATATAAACCGTTGAAGTAAGTAATAATGAATAAATATTGTATTTTTCAACAACTCCACAGTCAAGAGACAAATGTGTGGTTCCCCAGTGGTGTAGTAGTAAATTTTAAAAGGCAGGAGCTCATCATGTTCCGATCTCCATGCTCCCAAGGAGAGTTTAAAACGCAATGACTGTGCTTCAGTTCACCTATTGTTTAGGAGAGAGCAAAATACGTAGGTTCACCTTTAAATGCGAACTGAATCAAATTTCTCCCTTATCCCTAAATACAATTTATTAGGATCAGCATTGCTGTTCTGCTGCACAGTTTCCTGCAAGCAAGTGCCATTGATCTATTTCAGACTGCATGGATTCAGCTTGTAAAACACACTGGGCCTCAATAACAAATCCCCAGCTAGCTGAAATGCAGCCATTTCATTTTAATTAGAAATGCAGACAATTTTGCAGAAAACTACTACTGCAAGAATGAAGTATGGATCTTATGAAAGGAATGGAAAGGCCTACCCAGCCTCTACTTGGTTATTTCCTCTTTCTGTGACTTTTTCTATACCAATCTTACAAATCTGAAAGCTTCATTATCGCCTCATTCACTTCCCAGAGCAAGGAAAATCCCCCAATTACCACATCGCTAAGGCTGATGACATTATTGCTCCTGTTCTGACAAACAACCTGGAGCTGTGCTACCCTGCAATACTTATCCACTACACCACTGCTGGTTTCTCTCAGCGGAACTAATCAGGAAAAACCCCAGCATGCTCTACTGTTCATGTACCTGGCACAACAAATGAGCAAAAAGTCTCCTAGGTTGGTGAAGTCTTCAGAGCTGTCCAAAGATTATGGAAATGTATCTATGAAACTGCAGTTACAGAATCAAGAATGGATCTTGGAAAGCAATGGGGGTTGGGAATGTAACTCTGGAATTCTAGCTGAAAAATGTAAGGTAATAATTTTTATCAGAACAGAACACACGAGCCTACCAATCTCTAAAAAGTTATCAATTCTCTGTGATAAATCATATAAGCCAATGGAAAATCAAATTAGCAAGGAAAAGAATATTTAAGAATGAAATTCAGGGGAAAGGCACAAGTTTTTATATAACACCACAGTAATTCCTCCATATAGAATGTAGTCTTTGGACTACATTCAGGTAGATACAATAAGGGGTGACTTTCATCACAAATCAACCACTTTGACAGCAGATAAACTGGGCAACAATGCAAGAGGCAGAAAATAAAATCTCAAAATAAAAAGGGGGGTCATACTTACATTGGTGACATATTCAATATCCTTCCAAAGATTACACTCCCTGGGGAAGTCTGACAACTCTAAAAAATTATCCACTATCACTTGGCCAATCAAGTCATGCCTGGAGAATCGGTCAAAGTCATATACAGAGAAGTGGAGTTTCCTCGTGCTCAAATCATTGTAAGGAACAGGAAATAAAAAAACTTCATCAAACACTGGGTTTAGGGTCTTTCTATGCACTTTAGTCTGGTGTTTTGTTTTCCTATCTGGAAGTAAGTAGATCTTGACATAGGGGTCTGAAGTCCCAGAGAAGTCCTTTGCTGGCAGGTTGACAGCTTTGTGAATCTTCACTATCAGTTGCTCCAAGTCACAATCGTATTTCACAATAAAGTTGAGCTTCCCACAAGATTTGCTATTGTTCCTCCTCCCATCATCTGTGTCCACCGATCTTTGTTTATACAGCTCAGGCTTGATGCGCCCAATCCCTGTCAGCTGCTCCTGCTTTTGGATCTGCTGGATGTTGAAGTCTGGGTTGGAGAGATTGAGCTGCCTTCGGAATGAATTATGCCTTGAATAAAAACAACAAAACAGACTGGATTAGACAGGTGGGATTACAGCATCTCTACAGTGTTAAATGAAATAAAAAAATATAATTTTTAAAAAATGAAAGCTGAAATCATGATTTCGGACAATAAAGAACGTTTTTGATATAGTTTCCCTAGCACACCACTCATCCATGCAACTTGCATCAGTCGTTGTGGAATTCTTACCAATCATGCTTTTAACTTGACTGCATCCTCTCTTTCCAATCACCTGGGCAACAGGTAAGAGGTTGGTGGTGCTTTCCCCCCTTTGAAATTTCCGCTGTCCCTTGATGGTTCCTCTCACTGTAACCTAGCTGCAAGCAAATTTTACATTGCCTCTCGATCAAATATTAATCTAATTCATCCTTGATCCCTTCCACAATTTATGTGGATACCACAGCTTTCACACTCAGTTTCTGACTATGCTGCTGCTGTGTTGTTCTTCCAGTTGCTCCACCTATATAGGTCATTCATCTGTTCTAAATCTTGCCAGAGGTCAAAAGTGCCTTGCTACTCCCCAAATACAGTGGTACCTTGGTTCTAGAACTTAATCGAGTCCAGGAGTCCATTTGACTCCCAAAACTATTAAAATATCAAGGCGTGGGAGCCGATTTGTTTGGGAGCTAAGCTGTTCAAGTACCAAGGTACCACTGTGCATAGCAGTATAAACAAATACTCATTTATCTACTCAATGCACCTTATGGTTTTCATTACCATAAGATGTGGTATAGCCACGGTACTAATAGCTTTCGAAAGGCGGGAACAAGTTTATGGTAGATGAGTGTAATAATTACTAATCATTATGATAATAAAAAATTGACTGTCTAAGGTGCCCCTTTGGCAGACGCCCTGTGCAAGAACTTCTGCTTGCACAATTGGGATTCCCCTTCTCCTCTCCCCATCTGCCTCTTAAAACTGGCTCAGGAGGGAGGTCAGGGGAAAAAAAACCCCAAACAGTGTGCTGGGGAGGAGAGGGAGGTCATTCCACCCCACAAGCTGAAATGCTTTTGCAGATCATGCGTATCAGCACAATGTGGAATTTCACCCCATGTGTTTGGAGAGATAATATACCTTTGTTTACCAGATGATGAAGCAAACTGCAGAGGAAAGCTATCTTCATCATGTCTTGCTTGTGAGGTGGTTGGACACAGTCAACAAGACTGAGCTGCATTGGCTTAGCCATAGATCTGCTACAGTTCAGCAGTTTTTTAGGTTGACTCTGCCCCACCATCATTAGCTCTCCCATATTTTACATACACTCCTCTTCACGCAGTTTTGTTCAGTCAGTCTTCCCCTCGGTGATTTCACCTCCCACCCACTCCACCAAAGCTGTGGCTAATACCTAGCACTTCCTATTTCAAACCCTCGCAAGTGTTTTGTTAACCTGTTCTATTTTTGTTGAATTCTTTGCAGGGCTATATCAGCACCCACAGCTACAGAGGTAAGTGAAAATGAACATACTTTGCAAGATTAAATTGAGGCAGCCCTTCAGTTACTATAGGATTTCAACAACCTGGCAATTACGTCTAGCTCATAAAACAGCAAAAAAAATGTGTGGGGCTCTTTCTATACGTTGCCTGCAAGCGTCCGGCTGCTACGGCAACATTTGCAAAAGTACATGCCATTCAAGTCTGACTCTAGTACTTTCACTAATTCTCTGCAGTATTACTAAAAGCTTATCGGTAACTGTTCCTGAACTGTTCTTGTTATTTGGGGGAAGTGCTTAGTCAGCATGCTCAGCTATTTTTTTAATTTTTATTGAGAATAGGATTTTTTTTTATATACAAGTAAAATAGCGTAAGTAATGATGGTATAGAGGCTTACAACTAACAGGTGAGTCAGAATGTTTGTATAGATTTCTCAAACCAAACATCTATAACACTTTTCAGATCAAGGTGGAATCTACACACATATAAAAACTGTTCTGAAAATGCTTTTTAAAGTGTTTTTAAAAATACAGTACATTGAATTTTCCATAAGGCTCATCATCGCCATCTAGTGTCACATTGTGCATTGCACTTAAAACACACTTAAAATGTTTTATTTGCAGCTGTATAGCTGAGTCCCAAGTTGTGGCCAAAACTGTATACAAGGAAGAAAGGAGTGATGGATGATTTCACAAGTTCTAAAATTGTACTGAAATTACATGACTTTTACTCACATTATGAAAACACCCTGAAATGCATTTACCCTCCTTTTTTTGTAAAAAGGAGGAAGAGGAGATACCAAGCATCAAGAAATTGGATGGCGTAGTGTGGACAACTTACTGATTTGCAATCCTTTGGGATGTTTTCCATCTTCTGAAGCACTAGCTCTATACTAATGCAGACCAACACACTTACTGACACACAGCCACAAAGTGTCAAGGGGTACCCAAGAGACTCTGCCTCCCTTGCTTCACACAGGATGCTGATTTGTGACCCAGTGTGAGGAAGGTGGCCAGGCAAGCCTCAGGTGGTTGGAGAAAATGAAGTGATCCCCTTGGTTCCTTCTCCTAATCCCACTCTGAACACAGTAAACTGTAGTGGTCCTTTCTTCCTTGGCTTCCCCTTTCCTCTGGCCTTTTATGTTTGATCCCCCAGCCACACCGGTTTGCTGGCTCCTTTGTGTCGATTACAATCAGGCCTTTACTCAAAAGTATTTAGAGTCTACTTTTATTCATGAGGCCTCTCTCAGGATCATGGGAACTGGTGAATGAAGGCAAGGGGATGCATTGGTTGCCCATCTCTCCCATGATCAGGAATGCTATCTCTAAATTAGTCTCTGATGCCTTCTTCCTTCCCCATCAAGAATCCTGCTCCTGCACCTGATAAAGTAAACACAAACCTCCACCTGTGCAGTCCTTGGTGACCAAGGAGCCTGTTAGGTAAGGGATACTTTTTGGCACAGTAAAGCTTTTTTACTTTGGGGGCCACTCTGTTCCTTACTGGAGCTACTGACCGTGCAGAAGGAGTTGGCTCCGTGATCTGTCGATGCATCCGGACATTATGCACACAGTTTTCCTTGGTCCCTGCCTTAGCGTCCAAAGGGATGTCAGGGGATGTGTGGCTAATCTTCATGGAAGAGTCGGGGTAGGTGGTAGGTTGTCCCAAGTAATCCTCGCTATACTCGTGGTCATTGGTCTCTGTGTCTGTATAGTTCAGGGACTCCTGCTTGTCTTTGTTTCCAGGCAGGCCACGTTCTCGCCAAGGAACCCAGCACAGCTTCCAGGACACAAACAGAGACACCCCAAACAAAGCAAGTCCACATGCTGTGACAACTAAGGACAGTAAACTCACTGTGATATCTGAAAAGAAGAAGGAAAATAAACACATGTCAACACTGGAAGGAAAAATCAGTTCTAAGACAAGAGGCTTTAACAGAAATAAACCTTGGGTGAAGGGCGCTATACCAATTTAATAAACAATTTTCTTTGTGCATAGAAGCTGCTGTGTAGGTCAAAAATTTGGTACTGTTTTCCTTCCTAACTCTCTACTCAAGAAAAAAAGACATATCATCAAACTAGCACAGGACTTTGTGATGCTCACCGAATGCTGTTTTACAAGACACGTTGATTTATCACCCAGACTTCAAGAAAACCTAATGCCTCTGCTTTATGTATCACATCTGTCTCTGTCTCCCCTCGCTATTTCCACACTTTCCTCCTCCTCTCTCCTATTCTGCAGGACCCTTTGCACACACACCTCATTCTCCCTGCACAAATGTAATGCCTGGAGAGAGCAGGGGTGTAGGAAGGGGGTGCGGGGTGCCACCGGGTGTCATCCTGAAGGGGTTGACATTTGGCGTGCCCCCCCCCCACCTGCGATTCCCCCAAGCCCGGTGAGCGGCAAAGCAGCAAGCGGCAAAGCTGCAGCTCTCCCCCTTCCCCCGGCTCGCTGTAGAGGCGGATCGCGGTGCTGCACCAAAACTGGCCCCTGGGGAGGATCGTGCAGCTGCACCAATCAGCCCTGTGGGCAGATCGCCCCACCCCTGGGTGCACAGCATGTGTGCCACTCCAGGTGCCAGGGCACCTAGCTCTGCCCCTGGGAGAGAGAACATTGTTACAGCAGGAAAACAAACAGAATAAAAGCTTCTGCCGTGGATTGCTTGTTTTTAACACGGTTTACAGTTGATCCGTTTCATACTGCCATCATGGTACATCTGCAGCAGCACAATTAAAAGCCTTCATCTGCCCCAGCTGCAACAAAACATGTCTCTTCCATACTGGTCTCTACAGCCACAGCAGGCTCCTCAAAGGCTCATTCCTCCATTGTCTCCTGAGACAGATGGATGCCAACTGGCATTCGGACACCTCTGGAGCCTAACGGATGGCAAGACAAGGTATCAGGATTTTACATAAATGAAATAATAAAAAGCCTGTTTCCCTTTTTGTTTCGTGTGTGAGTGTCTCACTGTACACACACACACACACACACACACGAGTAAGAACATCACACAGCCTTCAAAGTATGTACGTGATTAACATAGAAGATGTTGCTGAAATTGTGAAAAGTAGCTGTTTCTCTTTTCAAAACAGCTGCAAGAGCGCAGATGCTTTTTTTCATGCAGGACTATTTACCCTTTTGTGGATAATAATGTCAGGCTTTTATTTGGGTACTCATTCACAAGGCCCTCAAATAAATTTTAGCAGGGACCTCCCAAGGCAGTACAACAATCCTTGTTGGTGACTAAGCAGCAACAGAAAGAAGAAAGGCCTTTTGTATTGTACATGGTAAGTGGAAGTCAAGAGTATTTCCATGTTTCCAAAAACCCGATGGCTATAACAACCCACAGTCTATAATTTTGGGTAACAACCATCCCTCTTTCAAATTGTTCTTTAACCTGGAAGCCTCCAAATAGCTCACCTGTTTTGCTGGGTTTTTTCAGCTAAGCTTTCCCCTCCTATTTTCCTGGGGTGTTCTAAGTCACAGGGAACTGACAGAATAGGCAATTTGCTCACCTTTCACAAAATCCTACTATTATCTTATCTTGTAGCCATGCTGACACATCTGGGTTACTACAGAGAGAAACAACAGAAAGAGGCTAAAAGAAACAGCCATTTACAGAGATTTTTGCAGAGCTTCTTAAATATGTGCTGCACCAAATATACAGAAAACATTCACAAAAAGTGATGCGCTCCTTGGAGAAAGGCAGCAGTGGGGTGCGGGTGGAGAGAGAAAGAGAGCCTCGCAGGTATTTTTAAAGGGTTACAGGAGAGCTACTAACGGCCATGTGGGACAGAGGAAGGCTGCTCAGCTGCTAAAGAACGATTAAAAATAAAATCACAAAACTGTGTGGGAAATGAGACTGCTCTTTTCAAGCAATGCCCCGTGCCTGGGAGATTTATACAACCACAGCCTCATTCCTGGCCCCATCCCTGATGATGTGCTCTCTTCCTCCATGACTTCTAGGCATGGTGTGTGATGTCTGTAATGGGCAAGTCTTCATATGTACTGTTGAAAGCATCTTCCTTTCTTCACAGATACCTAGGGCTCAAGAGGTGTGATGTTGCAGGTGGGGCCAGGAGGCGTGGCCTTCTTCCTGCATCTATATATTTAGCCAGTGCTTTTTTCCTAGAAAAATAGGTGCCAGTAGATACCATGAAGTTTTTACAGTAAATGCCAAACTTTTTAACAACAACAAAAAGAGGTGTGGGTGCTGCATATCCTCAAGTACCCCCTGAACCCCCACTATGTTCAGCTATAGGTGTGGAAGGCAATTTCTGAGAAGGGGCAACTACTGCAATGGAATTACTAGCTTCTAGAGCAGGCATAGGCAACCTTGGCCCACCCGATGTTTTGGGACTACAACTCCCATCTACATCCCTAGCTAACAGGACTAGTGGTCAGGGATGATGGGAATTGTAGTCCCAAAACATCTGGCAGGCCGAGGTTGCCTAGGCCTGTTCTAGAGTGAGGAAGAAGGAAAGGTAATCTCCTCTCACTGACTGCTGGGAAACTGTGACCCCAGCAATAGGAGTTCTACACCAATGGGGTTCCGGCAGCAGTGAAAAGACAGTCGAAGTGTAGTAAGGATGCCCTACAAGAAGCTTTGCAAAATGACTCACTATTTCATTTGTTTATTTTTATTTTCTGCCCCTCTATCGGAAATGGTTCACGAGGCAGTTAACATTAGAAGGAAAAGAACGCACAACTCAAGCAAACAACAAAAGACGCAAACTCCCCACCTACAGAAAGTGAGCAAATCAAGAAGAAGTGTGTGTGTGTGTGTGTGTGTGTGTATATCTGGCAGTGGCATGTGATCAATGAACTAGGGGGACTAGGCTGGTCTCCCAAATATTCTCAGTAAATTAGACTATTACCGTATTTTTCGCCCTATAGGACGCACTTTTTCCCCTCCAAAAATGAAGGGGAAATCTGGGTGCGTCCTATGGGGCGAATGCAGGCTTTCGCTGAAGCTTGGAGAGGGAGAGGGGTCGGTGCGCACCGACCCCTCTCGCTCTCCAGGCTTCAGGAAGACATCCGCAGCCTAGGCAGCCCTGTGGGAGTTCCCGCAGGGCTGTCTAGGCTGCGGATAGTAGCCTGCTTCCCGGAGTGCCGGGCGCGCTGAAAGCAGAGCTCCCGGCGCTTCGGGAACACATCCACAGCCTAGGCAGCCCTGCGGGAGGTCCTGCAGGGATGTCTAGGCTGCGGATAGCAGCCTGCTTCCCGGAGCGTCGGACGCCCTGAAAGCAGAGCGCCCGGTGCTTCGGGAACACATCCGCAGCCTAGGCAGCCCTGCGGGATGTCTAGGCTGCGGATAGCAGCCTGCTGCCCGGCGGGCAGGGCGCCCTGAAGCAGAGCGCCCCTTGCGCCGGGCAGACATCTGCAGCGGTGGGGGGCCTGCGGGGTTCTCCCCGAAGGGTTTCATGCTGGCGGATAGCAGCCTGCTGCCCGGCGGGCGGGGAGCGCCCTGAAGCAGGGCGCCCTTGCGCGCCGGGCAGACCATGGGCCAGCCCACAACTCGGGGGGACAGCAGGAGGGAGCACACCGGGGCTCCTGTTGTTTTCCTTGACCTGTTCCGGTTTCCCCGACCTGCTTTTGGGGGGGTAAAGGGGGGGAATGTCCTTTATTTCCCCAAAAAACTAGGTGCGTCCTATGGGATGAAATACGGTAAATCTTGGGTGCCTCCTTCCACCACTGGCTTTGGGAATGAGGCAGCAGGGCTCCAGCATCTTGTCAGAGCCCTGGTGCCTACTTCCCAAAGCCCAGGGAGCTTCTGCCCAGATTAGGGAGGGAGGCGCGGTGCCCAAACGTGGGATATCAGGATATCGCCCTCACAAGCTGGTGCCTGTGGTCCTAACTGTCCCCTATGAAAAAATTCACCACACGCCACTGATCTCTTGAAGGTATATTTGTAGTCATGCATTTAGAAGACACTAACGGATCGGTAAAACGAAATGCTTTGCTTTTTCAGCACATTCCTTTTTTTATTCCTGTTATTTCTTTTATGCTGATGTGTTTCATAGTTACACACACACAATTTACTATGACTAAATGGTGCTGCTGACAAGGCAATGGTTTGCAAGCAATCCCTTTGATTACTGAGCATATGATTCACACCAGGCAGGCACTATTCCTTTCACTATTCATAGCTATTAAGTCCCTTGCGGCATCCTTGGAGTAGAGTTGCCTCAGGTAATGAGTGTGCCAAGCAGTTGTCTCTCCAGCGTTAAAATACTCTATTCCTATGGAGCCGCCTTCATATTACTTACACTTGTGATTTACCCTCAACCTCACTACATCTTCCTTGGTGCAGTTCAGCTCCTCTGAACCTATTTATCTAGGCCTAAATATATTCCTGCAGGCTGTTATTTCTTGGCTTGGAGTCAGGAACTTGCACCTCCCTGCAACAGACCCCGGCTGCCCAAATGTACAGAAGCTTCAATGGAATAGTACAGTTTTCAGGCCTTTGCTAATCTTCAAGCTAAAGGCGATTTTTTTCTTACAAGCTCACTTTTCGAAAGAATCACAGCAGTGCACCAGCACCTCAACAGCTGTAAAGGCCACAGCTCAGCTACATTGACAGTAAACACAAAATTTCGGGGCTATGTGTCCCACTTATTCTTGCAGATAATCAGAGTCTCCTTTATATCATACAGGAGAGTTTCTAAATATTAAGGCAGAGGGGAGGGGGCATATACTTCTACTATCGTAACGCCTGGAAATTCTAATCTTCACCAAATCAAGGTATTTGTCCTATCTCCTTGGAAACTGGTGTGGCATAGCTACCTTGTGACTGTTACCAGCAGACCATCTTTGTTTTTGCAAGAGTCAGCGAAGGCTGAGATGGCCTATGAAAGCTTTC